AAAAGCTCCAAATAGCTGGACGTGGTGGTACCAGCCACCAACCTGGAAAGCTCAGGCAAGAAAATTGAAAGTTGGAGTTCAGCCAGAGCAACTGAATGACTTAGTAAGATCCTCTCTCAAAAATACAAGGGGGGGTGGGGCTGGGGATTTAGCTCAGCGGCATAAGCGCCTGCCTTGTAAGCAGGCAGTCGTGAGTTCGATCCCTGGTACCGATAAAAATGAAAAAAGACCAAAAAAAAAAAAAAAATACAAGGGGGGAGGGGAGAAGCACTCAGTGCAAAGGCCCTGAGTTCAGTCACCAAACCACCCAAAGCACAACACCACACAATCCTTTAAAGGCCTTTGGAGGAGTGAGGGTGAGTCTTAAAAAATAACTTGATGGCTGAGGATTTAGCTCAGAGGCACAGGCGCCTACCTGATAAGCTCAAGGTCATGAGTTTGATCTCCAGTACCAAAAAACAAAAACTTGATTATCACACAGGGAAACAAGGGGAAAGTCCTCCAGCCAGAACCAAGCCCAAGTTCCAGGTAGCCAGTGGCCCTGGGAATAGAATCTTCACATTCACTTTGCCCTGCCTTTCCCCTGAGCGCTGGCCACTGGACATCTCCTTCCCCAACGCCAGAAAGTCTGTAGCTCCACAGAGCAAGAATCTTCCACCCTCTTTGCCCTTGCTGGACTCTGTGGGATGTTAGAAATATTTTCCAACCCACCAAAGAAAAAGAATTAACCAGATAGAGCCTGAATAGTCACCTCAAAAGCATCTTTTGTTTTATAAAGAAAGGGGCTGGGCTGAAGGCCTCCTCTTCTGATTTGACGTCACAGCCTGGTGGGCGGGGCCTCCCTGGGCCTGGCAGCGTTCCTTAGGAAAACTCATTTCTGGGTCCACCTGTGAATTCCACAGCCTTAGAATAACCCTTCTTCCTCTCGCTGCCGGCCCAGGCCTTAGTTGCTTCATCTGTGACATGGTGAGACAGTTTCGTTCCCATGGGAACCAGAGTTCGGGTTTCCAAGAGAGGGTTCCTGTGGTCCCCTCCAGTCTCAGGTCTGAGCAAGAGTGAGGTGTTTGCCCCCCCCCTCCCCCGCGGTAGACCCTCGATGAGGGCACGCGGAAAATACAGTCATCACTCAGAGCTTGCTGGAGTGATGCTTTGAAAACGCCTTCCAGCTTGCAACGCATGGCTTTTTAAACCTCTTCAACACTGAGCAGTCTTCGTTTTAGGAGGAATCTGAGTTCTGCAAACAGTGTAATCAGGACAGCCGGTCCAGGAGCAAGCTGAATGAAGAGACTTTTAGTTCCAAACAAATGAAGCTGATTTCCTTCAGCTTCAAAATTCCTAAGTAGGTTGCAAAAAAACGTTTCAAGCAATAAATGCATCGTTAAAACAGTCAGGGGTAGACGATTAAAACTTTTTAAGGACAGCACTTATCTAGGAATGTTCCTTTTTTACAGTTGATTCGCTACTTTGTGCCTGATTTTTTTTAAAAAAGTAATTATCCTCCTTATTCCTATTCATTCGTTAATGCATTTGTTTTATGTGTTTGGATATTTGTGCTTATTTTCTTAAAAATGTGGCTTATGCAGATCATTAATTGTAAAAACATAAAATATCTTCTGTCAGTGGCTCTCACACAGATCTTAGCTTGTGGAAACCCAGATTGCTGGGTTCCCCTACAGAGTGTAGAGTGTCTGATTCAGCCTGGAGTGGGGGTCAGTTGTGGGTGTTTGGTTTGGTCTGGTTTGGTTTGATTTGGTTTGGAGTTTTTTTGTTGTGGTTGTTGTTTTGAGATAGGATCTCACTATGTAGTTCAAACTGGCCTTGAACTCACTTACAGTTTAGGTTGGCCTCAAACTCACAGTGATCCTCCTGCCTCAGGCTCCCAAGTGCTGAGATTACAGGCATGCACCACCATGCCCTGTTAGTTGCGTGCATTTTTAATGTTCCCAGACACTGCTCTAAAACCATATTTTGAGAATCCTTGGCCAAAAGGGCTGTGATCATGTCATTTGACCCCTTCTACAAATCAGTAAACTGATGTCCAGGGAGACATACATGACTGCCTTGCCTCAGGTCATACAACTAGCTAGTAACAAAGCTGAAAGCAGAACCCAGTGGTTCCACGTGCCTATTCTGGTGCTTCTAAAATTACCATGTCTTAGTTGGAGACAAGTTAGCACAGCTAACTTGTTAAGTTTTTGTAGCCTCTTGCTGATTTCAAATAATCTGGCCTGTTTTTATGTCCTGCATAAAACTGGGTTGTGGTTTTATTCTACCACCAGAAGAGCTTGTGTTTGATTTGCTTTGTTTTAAAATTATGATAAAATATACATGATATAAAGTTTACCATTTGACCATTTTTAAGTATACATGTCTATGGCATTATGGTGTATTATATACCTTTACCTTTATATCAACAACTTTCTTCTCCAGATCTTTTCCATGTTTCCAAACTGACACTCAACTTTTAAAAAATAGCTCCTGATTCCTGCCTCCCCCAGCCCTAGTAACCTGTCTCTGCTTCCTGTCTATGGATTTGGCAATGCCAGGAAGTTCATGTAAGTGGAAACACACAGTATTTGTCTTTTTTGTGACTGGTTTGTTTCACTTAGCATAATGTCTTCCAGATTCACCCCAGCTGAAACCTGTGTCTATACTTCATTTCTTTTTATTGTTAAATCACATAAAACTGTATGGATACACTGCGTTTCACTTATTCATTCATTGGTTAATGTACATCTGGGTTATCTCCCCCTCTGAGTTCTTGTGAAAAGCACTATTGTGATTGTGGACATATGAATACCTCTCCAAGTCTCCACTTCCACTTATTGTGGGTAAATACCTGGAGTTGAATTGCTGAATCATTTGCTAATTCTGTGTCTCATTTTTTGAGGAACTTGATTCGATTTTGACTCTGGGATTTAAGGCTGGGAAAATGTATCTGCTGTTAACAAATGAGTGGGTAAACAGCCTGAGCAGTGCTGGCTCCCGCCCATCTGGTGCTGCTGTTGGAAGGCAATGCACTGCCCCCAGGCCTTGCAATAAAGCAGCACTGTTTCGCAGTTCACCACCAGAGGCTGCAAATGGTCTCTTGGGCTTGCTCACGCCTGACGTCTATGTCACTGGTCTCCATTCATATTTGTTTCCCTCTTTGCCTTTGGGTATTTGTTTTTTTGGTGGATGAAATCCCAGGATGTCCCTTTAAAGAGACGGGAACCTCAGCTCAGGCAGAAGCTTGGTGCTTCATTGAAAAAAAGAATTTGGGAACAAATCAGTGAGAGGTGTGGGTTGATATCTATTAGAGTTGTGGCAGTACACACTGAATGGGAGTGTGGAAACTCAAGGGTGAGGAGCATTGTTGTCTGGGAGGTTGATCTATCTGTCTGTCTGTCTAAAATCTTGGGAGTATCTTTAAAATGAACAATTTAAGGTGTTTTTCCAGAAGGCATTCTTTTAATCATGTATCATTTACCTTTTATCTGTTTATTTACCTTTAGATCAGATTGTTACTCTTCAGTATGTTAAAACAAAAAACTTGATACTAATTAGGTAAAAGATAAACCGTTTATATATGATTGATGTTTAGAGATGTGGTACCCATTTAATAGTTTTATGTCCCATTTCTTTTGAAAATGGAAGTCTTTGATGTAACTCTTGGAATTTATGGAATCTTTAGGAATTTGAGGGTAAAGGGTGGGTAACTTGGGATAACTTTGACCATGCTTTGAAAGTATTCTCCTTATCTCCTTTCTGTCTTTGTTTCTGCTTTCCTACCTCAATATCCCTACCCACCAGATCTGGCCAGCTCCCAAACTGTCCTCCCTGCAGTGCAGAATGACTTCTGGAACCAGTAGGTCCAACCTCACCATGTAGGTCAAAAGACTCATTTACAAGAAATTTAGTTTAGATTCGGACAAAACTTCATTCTGTATAGTACGAGTGTTCGGATCAGTGGAGGAATTTGGTTTTTCAGGCAGAAAGGGGTTAAATTTTTTTTTTTTTTTTTTTTTAAGAAACTGATTTGCCTTTGACTTTGGAAGTTTCAGACTGGAAATATGGACTGGCTGTTAATGAATGAATAGGTAAATAGTTTGAGCAATCCTGCCTCAGCCTTCCAGGTAGCTGGGAACACAGGCAAGGTGCCACCCTGCCCTGCCCCAAATTATTACTTTTCAAGTTTCAGGAAAATTAAGGCATACGTTATTTTTTTCCTGGTGGATTTATAATAATATCTCCCTGTCAATTAAACTGAACCAATACTGACTATGAGTAGAACTTCAAAAGGCTCATCTCAACATTAGCTTTCCACTCTTCCCTCTATCAGTTAACAGAATGGACAGGTCACTTCCACCTTTTCTTTTGAGCAATCTGATGAGCAATTATTACTCTTTTAGTCTGGTTCAAGTGCTCCATTTTTCAGGCTAAATGTTTTATTCCATTAGCAGATGATACTACCCTTTGGAATAGTTCTGTGGTTTGTGTAGGGAACAGCATAAGGCAGAGCCAACAAGCCCACCAGGCTTGTGTAAAAGCAGCCTGGGGAGGAATTTACTGCTCCTGGCTGCCAGCAGAAGAGGGTGAAAAGAGTGTCTGTGGGGTACAGAGAAAAACAGAGCCTTTTTACAGGGTTGGAACAGAGAGGATCAGAGACCTCAGGTGAGGAGATCGTGGCAAATGTCTGTGTTCTAAGTTCTCTAAATGTCGGGTGCCTCAATGGGCAAAGTCCTCAGGGCATCCGGTGTAAGTGTGCAGATATTGTCAGATGTCCTGGTGCGTGGAGGATTTTGTGTTCTTCTTATCTCCTCTTTATGACGCCCTGTTTGCCAAGGGCAGCACACCCTGCGCCAAGTTGGTTTTCTCTGAGAATGATGCAGCTCCTGACAAACAGGTTGGGTGCTGGGGAAGTTAAAACTGACAGTTTACAATTCTCGCTTCTCCATGTTGCCTCCCACGTGAGCCAGTGTCACCTCACATCTGGGACTTTCGGGTTTCTCTCCCTCCAGGACCCCTTTCTTTGAAGGAAGCAGTCTGGATGTCTGCCCCAGGGTGCATCAACCATGTCTCCTTCCTCAGGTGAAACTAGAGGCTTCTCACAGTTCCCTGATTCCAGGAACAGGAAGAGGCGGCCACTGTACCCGGAGGTAATTGGTGATATTTATCTGGTGGCTGGGAGCTGTCATCAGGTCTTCAGAGACTCCATTATCATCAGTAGCGAGCTGCTAATTGTAACCAGATCCCACCGTACCTCAGCAGCACCCACTGCTTAAAAGGGCAACTCCCCACCGGCAGCTGATTTCCTTTTCCCGCTGCTCTTTGTGTGGAAAAGGGAGGATGTTGGATTTCCTGAAATGTGTAATGGAGTTGTCAGACAAGCCCAGAAAAGGTTTTGTGAGCCTGTTGCATAGGGAGAGGCAGACCACCAAGCAGTCTGGCTCACTTGCCTGCTGTCAGACCTCCCAGCAGAGTTTGCATCCTTTTCAATCCCTGGGGTGGAGGCCAGGAGCCGCCTCCATGGCGACCCCCATCTCTTCCTCCATCCATCCATTCAGTATGCACACTGAGCCTGTGCTGAAGCTTGTGTCTGGGCCATCCCAGCCATGAGCTGTGAGCCCTGTGTGTACCTCCACAGGGGCCCAGGAGACCTGGAGAAGCACAAGCAGGCTGCACAGCAAGCAGCCTGCCCTCCATCTGACAAGTAAATGAGGTGAACCGTGGACCTCAGGCCCTTGCTCCTAAACTAGATGTGGAGAGATGCCAAGAGGCAAGGACAGGGTGCGCTCTTTAAGCAGCTTACGTAAAGCAATTTGAGGAAGTTATGCCCCTGTCCTTGGAAAGCAAGAGCACTGTCCTAGAGGCATGGTAGAAGCTGTAATGGTGGTATGTGTTCCTGATGCACTGCCTTGTGCCCTGCTGGCGGCCATGCCTTCTGGGCAAGTATAATAGGATGGTTGGAGAAGGTATAGCTCCAGTTAGGAGCCAGGAATTTAGGTCACCATTGAAGCAACTAGATGGAAGATGACAAAAGTCCTATTTGAGGTGGAACATAAAGATCTCTACCCTGAGAGGCTTCTGGGTTACTTGGCATCTTGGTCTGGGGCCACTAGAAGGCAGAGTCTGAGGCATGGGCTTAGGACGTGCTCCCCCAGGGAACTACTCAGAAAAAGGCAAGAGAAGAAGGTGGGGAGCATGGCCAGCCAGTGTGATGACAATCCCCGACCTGGCAACCACTCGGTGCCAAGCCTGACTAGTGGCAGTGGTTTTCTCAAGACAGCCCACTGAGGGGAAAGGTGCCATACTTTCCACTGGTCAGAGGTTCATCCCACTGCAGAAAGCATCTCTGGGTAGAACCCAGAGATGTGGGCACTTTCCACAGACAGGTCACTGCAGTGGTTTCTGCGGCTGGAACAAATGGCTCAGGGGCCTGGGGCCAAAGTGCCCGAGGGAGTGTGATGTGACACTTGGCCACATACCGGCATCCTACAGCAGTCAGAGTAGACTCTGTGAACAGGAGTACAGGGTGCCAAGTAGGCATGGGTGGATCGGCCAAGGACCACTCTTGCTTTTCTAGTGGGGGGCTCTGTAGGCCTGATAAATGCCTGGCAAACCCTGGAAAAGTACGTGGATGGGAAGAGGCCAAACACCTGAATCAGAAACAACAGCAGCCACACCCCTGCCACAGCCAAACCTCTGGCCAACCCAATCCAGTCCTGTGGGACGCCTAGAGTCATCAGTGGCATCCAGCACTGGCCTCCATGGAACCTTGCATCTGGCCTGGCCCAGGGAAGAAGAGCCTGTGGGCTTCTCTACTACGACTACTGGGCACTAGGGCTATGCCTCATATAGTGGGCAAGTGATATTTTTTTCTTTGAGTAAATGAATAAGGCCCATGGCAGATAATACACAAGCATAGGAGGAGAATTCAGGGTTGATAGAACAGAAATGTATTGAATAGAAGTGAGTTCTCTGATGCTGGCTTGGCTCTGAGGACTGCTCTTACTAGGCTATCATTGTTCTTTTTTACCCTCCTTAAACTCTTAATCCCCCTTTTCCTGCACTCTTGGGACTTCCTGTTGTTTAGCAAATAGAAATATTCTCTACTGTGGTGTCAGTTATGTGTTGATGCATATCAAGCTCTGCTCCTAAACTTAATGGCTTGAAACAACCTTACTATCTTCACATAAGTCCACAGGCCAACAACTCAAGCAGGGCCCAGTTGGGAGAGCCTTCTCGTCATGCCAAGAGCCACTGATGTAGCTAGTGTGACCTGGTCGCCTAAGTGCAGGGCATTGTATAAGACCTGCCCTGGCATCTGCTGCTGTCAGCTGGTCTGTATAGGGCTGTGCTGTCCAGAATGTGCAGCCACCAGCCATGTGAATACTTGAAATAAGACTGGACCCATAAAAGGTTAAGCTAGATGTGATGGCACACATCTATAATCCCACCACTCCGGGAGGCTGAAGCAGGAGGATTGCAAGTTCAAGCTCAGCCTGGGCAACTTAGAAACTTAATGAGACCCTGTTTCAAAATAAAATATAAATGCAATTAATTTCAAAAGAGCTGGAATGTATTTCAGTGTGGAAAATCCTGCATTTAATCCCCCATACCACCACCAGTACTATCAAAAAGAAAAAGAATCCTATAAATGTAAACTACCCTTTGGATTTTAAAGACTCAGTAATATGTCTAACGTAAACTTTCTAATTTTATGTATTGGTTACATGTTGAAATGTTAATAGTTTAAATAATGGTTACATAAAATATATTCTTAAACTAATTCTAGCTATTTCTCTTTACTTCATTAGTATGAATATTAGACAATGTAAAATCACCCTTGTTGCTTGCACTACCATGTTTCCATCGCCTAGTCCCCGGGCAGGGCTAAAGCGCACCCATCTCAACCTGGGTAATCTAAGGCCTGAGGAGGTCTGCAGCATGCGGTTATGGCAAAGCAAAACTGTCTTGCAGAGGGACTATTGTTAGGGAGCAGTATGTCAGGTCATTTAGCGATCCAACTGAGGCTTGAACTGGATCCGTAGCAGCAAGAATATACGGAGCAGAATAAATTTAGGAGCCAGAATAGATAGGAGTTGGATGTGGAAGGCTCAGAAAGAAGAGTATGGTTCTCAAGTCGGGCTGGTGAACTCTTTAGATGGAGGTGTTGTTCACTGATAATGTGCCTGTAAGCAGGAGGAGCTACTTTGGTAGAGAAGATCATGAATCTGGTTTGAAATATGTTGTTTTTAGGGTCTCTGTTGGGAGAGCCACGTGGAAGTGGTTAGTAAAGAGATGGATTTAATTGTGGGAGAAAAGGAGGAAAGGCATGAGAAATCAGAATGAGCATCATTATCAGTAGGAGGTGGTTGAAACCATGTGTGAATGCAAGGAAGATTTCCCTGGGGGTTGCAGAGAATAAGAGGAGAGCATTTCGGGGAGAGCCTGGGAAACACCCTTGTTTGAAGTACAGGGAAAGAAACAGAACCTGTGAAGAAGACCAAGTGATCTAGCAGCAGGGCCTGCTGCTCAGCTGTGTTTACAAAGAAAAGGAAGAAGACAGATTCCATGGTGGCCATATTGTCCGCCATTGTATTCCCAGAAGGACTTTGTGCATAGCAGATACACAGTTAGTGCTAACTATCAGGTTGTGCTGCATCGCCCTGCCCTGAATTGAGCTGACCTTTATGTCTCCCAGGGACGCTCTAGCACTTTTAGGCGACATCTTTGTTCAGTTTCTCCCCCTTTCCCTCTGTGGTTAACTAAGCCCACTATACTCGTGCCCAGTTAAATACTCCAAGGCTGTAGTAAAAACTAGTGTAGGTCATCTCATCAATTCCGATTTGCTTGCCTGTAGATGACTACCAGAATTCCAGGCAGCATAGACTTATTACCGCTCATAAGAAGAACATTATTGCTCATAAAAAGTAGTCTGAAGGTGAGTGGTCCCAGCGGTGGGGCAGGACTTAGGGTATATGTGGAACTGGCCTCTTTTTGCTTCACTGCCATGTCTTTAGCTTGTCATCTTACTCCCCACGTTATCATCTCTTAGTTACAAAATGGCTGCCATATTTCAAGCATTGTATGCTGATCTGTGTATCCTTAGCAGCGATAAAAATATTTGTCAGAACTTTCCCCAGCTGACTTTCACAGATCTCATTGGCCAGCTTAGCCATAGTCTCATCCCTCAACCAACAATAAGCAAATAGAAATGGAATACCATGTGTTATGCCCATTTTTAGAGGTGGGGCCTGGCCAGAAGGGGTGGGACACCGGGGGCGTGGCTTGGAAGGTGTGTTCTCATCCAAGGCTCTTCTTCAGGGTCTGCTTCCTCCTGCGATGGATTGAGCACCTTGTCCCAATATCCTACCCTGGAGTCTGTGGCCATAGATTGAAACCATAAGCCAGAATAAGCCTCTCTCCCTTGAAGCTGCAGGTGTTGGGTAGTTTGTCTCAGTGATGGAAGGGTGACTAAGACAGTGCTGACTAAGACCTGAACCTCTTCCTTGCCAAATCATGACTCATTCTTTGTAGCCGAGGTCTGGAGGTGGGGGAAGATGTCTCTTCCCTGGACATCTTGGCATCAGGAAAAATAAACTGCAGCTCTATAAACTGGGAAGAAGGTCTGTTGATTGGTTAGGAACTCAATGGTATCCTCCAGACTCATTAGTTTTTCTTTTGGGTCGTTATAATTTAGGCTTGAAAGCTTTCAATTCATAGCACTTACTGTGTATTAAGAACAATTTTTTCACTATTGAGACAGATAACAGCTCAGATTTTAAAATATTAAGTAGACCTTCCTTGTTACTGAAACCCGTAGGGGGCCTGGAGAGACGCTGGAGTTCTTTCCTGCTGGGATTCTGAACCAGCACTCTAGGTTCTGCTTGTCTGAATTACTAGCCATCTTGGCTGCTGCAGCTAACCCTGATTTGCAAATCTGTTTGTGAAGGGAGCTGTTTCTTGCCTCTGCCTTTGCACTTCTGCCCCACTCTCCTCAGCTCTACCCTTAAGCGACTCCCCCATCTGTTCTTTCTACCTGTAATTGATCTCCCTCAGTCTCAGTCTCCACCCATCAGTCTCAATCTCAAGCTCAGTTGTGCAGTCTCTTCCTCCTCTGTTCTCTCTTCCACCTGGTGGCTCGTAGTCCTCC